TATATATATATATATATATATATATATATATACATATCATTGATTATTTCTTCTTACATGAATATTAATCTAACTGTCCATCGAAAATGTGTCAGCACGAATTACAAAGACATCTCATAGATAACAAAAGAAATGATGTGGTCCAACAGGGCCTACCAAGCATGACCTAGGACTCCACGATCGAGAGGTAGCTCACGTGCACTGGAAGAACGGTGTGCCTCAAGAGGATAAAAGAAATACTGTCCTTAAAAAATTCATCGGACCAGTTCCACTTGGACAAACAAATCGCCTTCCAACCCAAATAGGTCGTCATAGCTCTGGCCAGAAATTGGGCCCAACAAGAGCAGAACCAACCACAGGAGGTGGCTACAGTGCACAATTGCAGAAGGACAAACCACGGTGCTAAGGGGGCTGGCGACTCCCAATACCAAGACAGTGCAGGATCTGCGCAGATGGAAAGGTAACATGTAGGGCAAACTATGCACCATGTCACCTGGAGAATTCTTTCTCCCTCCAAATCTTTGGAGCAGACCCCCAAAAAAAATCAACTGTTGGCCTTAAATTCTTATGTGAGACGGTTAGACAATAACAACCATATCACCACATTTGAGTAATTTGTGTGCCTACTTAAAATCTCAAGCGCGATCAAGTGTCATATGTTTTTCATCACTTTGAGGTCGTCACCCTTGAAGTTGTTTCATGCGCTTCCAGCCAAAAGCATTAGTAGATTTATTGATTTCAAGAAATTGTTTCTTGCACAGTTCGCTGGCACTGAAAAACCAACTGTAGCAAGGTGAGCACGAGAGCTTAGGTGGATTAATTGCGTGCTTCCAAAAGGAGATGTGGAAGTAAAATACCTCAAAGTGGACAGTTGTAGGCACCTTAAAGCAAGCCTTAAGATCCAAGGTATTTTCTAACAATCTTTGCATTAAAAATCCCCACAATTTGGCTAAATTATTGGAAAGGTCCAACAAGCACATACTAGTAGAGGAAAGAACTCCTAAACAAGAACTAGAGGGGTGTCACACTAAGAAGAGAGCTCCGCAGAATGGTGGGTCAAATTCAAGGGGTGAAAGCAGACCGCCCATGCAACACCATTTTGAAGACGACCAATCCTCCTGCGATGGCGACTACCATGGTGGCCAAGCGAGGAATCAGGATCCACGACAGACCCAAAAATACGAGCACAACAGTTTGAACAGGCTTACAGAGATTATGAGCGCTTACGAGCTACCCCATTAAAGTTGTCAATGGAAAAAATAATAGACGTCATGAAGGATAAATAGTATTTCAAGGAGTTTGTGCCAATGAAAGTAGGGGGTTTTCTCAAAGACGTGAAGTAGTATTGCAAGTATCACCAGGATCATAGCAATGACATAAAGGATTGTAGGCATCTTTGGATTCTCATCAAGGAGTTTATCAAGGCGGGAAATTGAAGGATCTTGTGGTCCAGGGACACTCGAGTCAGAGACATGGGAAGGCTCCAGCGCTAGAGGCCCTGCTCGGGCCCATCTAGATGAGTGTCATCCATGTCGACGAGATAGTCCTAACTATCGTTGGAGGAACAGATTCCCACTAACAAAGCTAATGACTCTCAGGCGAGACCCAGGGTATGCAGGGTAAAGACCCATGCTGGGAAGGAGGTCCCCCGACTTGGAGTGGAGATGATCTCTGGAGATGTTTTTCATGAATTCCACTCTATCTTTCATATGAAGATCATAAATAAAAGATATTTCCTAGTTTTTTTTACATTCTAAAATTATCTTCCACCAAAAATGTGTATGAAATGATTGAATGTCCCTTTAATTGAAGATTCAAATCTTTTAATTTAAATAAATTCTTGGGGAACTAAAAAAAATCAAGAAATCAACAATACGTCAGACGAGAGGCTTGAGAAATGAAAAACAGTGGACCATGGTGCCAAGTTCGTCCAGTCCAACCCAAAACATCAAGGCAACCAGTAATGTTGTCAAGATCGCTGACCAAAGAAAAATATGTTGAGATTTTCATACCTATTTTACACTGATTTTGATGATATTGCACTTTAAACAAATATATTCTTGATGTTTTGTTGCAAGTATGTTTAATTATGATCATTGGAGCAAAAAAATACAAAAAAGGAGCAAATTTGGAGCAAAAAGGACCAAAATATGAAGATTTGATCTTGGGCGCCGGCGGCGCCATTGACGCGGCCGACGACGCCCTTGACGCCGCCGACGGTGGGTTTTTCCTGAGACTCCAGAATTAAATATTCTAGAAGGTCGCAAATTGCGCCATCGAGGCCGTTGACGATGAGAACGACGACTCTCTCAATAGATGCATTGAATGTAGACGATTTTTGAAGGGACGCTTAGGCAACTCTTGAAAACTCTTCTACAACTTTAAGAGAAACATTTTGGAGGCGGAAAAAGGAGAGTTCAGAGTGTCCAGAGAGTGTCGAGAGGTCTTCGGGTGTCCAGGGGAGTGTAATTTAAGGTTAGGTATTGTGAGGAATTCTTCGAGAGATTGTAAGAGTGGAAGGAAAGTAAGAGATTTCTTCCTCACCGCTTCGAAGGAGAATTCTGTTTGCTGTAAAGAAAGAAAGAGATTTAGAGGAACTTCGAGGAGTTACTTGGGGAGGAATTTGAGATAAGTTGTATTTAATTATTATAGTTTGTATGATTTTGCTTTTATATATGAAATCCAAGTTTTGTCGTATCTTCTCCATGAGTTCTGAGTAGTTTTCTCTGTCTTTCTCCTTGTCTTGAGATTTTGTGAAATGGTGATTTGAATTGGTTGTGCCATGAGAATGTTAAAGAAGTTATGATGATCTTTTCACTTTAATATTAATTTACTTTCAATCTGGCCAATTGATTTGTTAAAATATGTTGAGTTTGACAATTAAAGTGAGGATTACATCCAAGATTTAGGGAGGTCAAAGTCCTTAAAAGTTGGGTGCAAATAAATAGAGAAATAAAAATTATCGGGCTTATAATTGGAGATTTTAGAGTGACAGACTAAAATCCTCAATTTGGTCCTATCGTTTGGGTGCTGAAGTGTAGATGTTAGTCCTCAGGCGAGGGGAACGTGGGAGCTCCGAAGTGAGAACGGGTATCCTCCCAGCCTAGCTGCAGATTCAGTAACCAAGCGTAGGATTAGTCAATGATCTTTATGCCTGGTCCAAAGGGTAAAGAATAGGTATGCTCCTATTCGACACAATACAATTTGAACAGATTCAATTTATCCATTCACTTAAATTCCTTGACAAGTAGAAGGATGCTTTCTTATATATTGAACTTCACATTAGAATCTTTATTAGTAGAATTAGTTGATT